CTGAAAATTTCAGGTCCGAGTGACCTAGGGTCAGGTCACCAGGTCAGAAAAACCGGTACAAAGTCATGGTCAAATTTCAATTTTCTTTTTGCACCTGTCCAACTCACAGTTTTCGACTGATTTCCTTCAAACTTTCAGGATGTGCTAAGTTCACCGAGTTGTATAGCATATAGTTCGGGTTTTTCGAGGTCACTGACCTGAGGTCAGTTAGAGGTCATTACGTCGTAATGTTAAGCCTATTGGAAAATACTAAATTCGGAAAATACTGGAGATATCCGCTTCATTCTATCACTTTTGTGCTTTGAAACCACAGTACTTAACAGCAGGTCACTTGGTGCTTCTTTGTTTGGTGTACTTATCCATGGGTCAGGTCAAATGAGGTCAACTGAGGTCAAATGACGTTTTTGCCAATAACTTGGCACATAATGACGCTAGAGCTTAAAAAATGGTATCATTGTGTTCCTGGTGATCAGCCGAATCGAATGATATGCGATATGATGCAATTTGGCTAACTTGAACTTAATTTATTAATTTAACCCTCGCATGTGTGCGGCGTTTTCCAGCTTCTAATGTGTAGGGGGGGGGGGTCGGTTGGACCCCCCCTTGCCGTTTGGCCCCTGATCGAGCTAGAGCTTCGCGGAAAAAACGAGCGTGTTGCCCGTGACGAGAGGAAGCCGATGATACCCAATTTTAAGGTCCTAGGTCATTGTTTGACCTTCCAGGTCAGGTCAATGACCCAAGGTCGGGAAAATTGGGACCTGTTAGAAAGTCGTAAAGTGTGGCTGCTAAGGGGTTTTTCGGGGTGCTGTCACGAATATCGTGTTAGTTTTGATCACCGATGATGTCTTTAAGCATTTAGACCAGGTCGGGTCAGGTCAGGTCAGGTCAACCAGTAGGCGTCGTGACGGGTATTAGTATTACGTGTCAACCGCCTCTGACAGCTTCGTAACATGTTACGAAGTCACCAAAACTACTTCGTAAATGTTCAAATGGTTGCTAAATTCGAATTCAGCTCCAAAAACTAGCCTAGAAACATGTAAAACTCGAAAAAGTGAACCGAGGTCACCAAAGGTCAATGACCTGACCTGACCTTCAGGTGACCTTGACACCCACCCTAATGCATGGGAGCAACATCAAATCACATGTTTGAACGTTTGAAACCACGAAAAGCTTGCAAACGCGCGGCTAATGCGAGCCGATATACGCGGAATCGCGGTTCCGGCCAAACATGGTCTCGGAAAAGAGGTCACAGGTCAAAGGTCATTGGGGTCACGGTCATGAAATTTTCAGGGTAGGTGTAAAATTGATCAATGCGAGGGTACTGAAAGTTTCGTCGCGATCGGCCGCTTTTTACGCGAGTTATTCGCGAAAAACCATGGGGGGGGTCCATCCGACCCCCCCCCCCTACACATGCGAGGGTTAAGTTTACTTAAAATTTGAGAAAAAATTTAAGTACACTTAAGCAAGCTAAAAAGTATATCATTCGACGCGCCTTGACGTGCTGAGTTCACTGGTGCTTTTCTTTTTGCTCTATCTTAATTAGATCAAAAGTTATAAGCGAAAAACTTTTGACCTGTTTTTAGCGAAATTTTTACATTTATACCTCCCAAAACCCCCCTAAATATTGACCTAGAGCAACCAAAATTGCACAGGGGCGAGAACTCCAGGGGGCCCACCTACCTACCAAATTTGGTGTTTCTAGGTGCCATAGGAGCCAATCGCGAGGGGGGGGGGTCGCATCGACCCCCCCCCCCCCCCCTGCCAGGCCGTGTTATGAAAAATGCCCTGCCAGGGCGAGGGTTAATTGTTGCTCAATGAGTGACCTTGTCATTGTTTTTATAATCATGAGCGACGAAACATACATCCGCTGGCCCAGGGCTTCATTATGTCTTGTCAATGATTTTCAGAAATGCAATGCATAGGTTTAGGAATGCATCGCCACCACTTAGATTAGTGCATTATTAGGTCGCTGAAACCTATCAAATGAATGCTCGCTCCTGCACAGCGAACACCTGTTTTAAGTCGAATTATAACATGTTTTTAAGGTCAAATGCCGTGTGAAATGGTCATGCTATAACTCCGGCAGAGTTTTATGTGATGTGACGTTCGTATTGTATTTGTCTAGTGATCAGCGGCTCTGGAAGGGCAGTGCCGAGTTTTTTCTTGTGAGAGAGGGGTTTTTACGGCTGAAAGTTGCTTAAACATCGACGAAGCTGCACAGATAGCTTTAGCAGGCCACGACCACAATTACCCCGTTGGATTCGATAACATTCAGACCTCAATAGAATTGTTCAGAATTATTCGTCCTCTGGCTACCCCTAAAATCATGATTGAAAGAAGGTACTTTCTTAACCCGCGCACCGACGGGGGTCTGCGCCAACTTCGCACCGACGGGGGGGGGGCGGATGACCGCCCCCCCCCCGAGATCTCGAGAACGAAGCAAGCTAGCGACAAGCGGTAAACGGCATCGGATACGCACGGTCAAGATCTACAATTTTTACTAAGGTCATTTTCAGGTCAGGTCAAAGATGACGTCACAGGGGTCGAAAAAGTCAAAATGGCGGCGCTAGATATGGAGAGGGTTTTTTTTCGAATAACTTTCGAATTAGTCAAGATAGGAACAAACTAAGGGCATCATCGTGATCCTCTCGTCAACCCGCATCGAATGATATATATGTTGACCTCGAAAGGTCAAGGTCAAAGGTTGACCTCAGGTCACGTGACCTCGAGGTCATCATGCATATCATTCGATGCGTCTTGACGAGCTGAGCACAATGAGACCATCCACGCGTCTGTATCTTGTTCCTGTACGGAGTTATTGGCCAAAAACCTTTGGTGACCTTTGATGACGTCACATGACCTCACAGCTGCCCAACAGCAAAACAGACCTCAAGGTAGTGAAGGTTGATCGTATATGAAGTCATGTATGGTATATGGGGCCATTCCGACCCGTTTTAGTGGTAAAAACAGGGAGTTGATTTTCCCCCATTGACTTATAATGGGGAGGTCGCGAAATTGACCTGACCTTAGGCCACCGATATCAAAATTCCAAAATCAAAAAAAAAATCAAAATTCCGAGATATACAAATTGTAGCTACTAATGACCTTATAACATCCTGCGACTTTCAAAGGCCTCCGACATCTACTGTAGCTCTCGCACGGTGACAAGTTGCATAAAAGTGACTTGAGGTTGGGTCATTCAAAGTGACCTGGTGACCTGACCTTGAAAGGTAGGAGGTTCAAACTTGCACACCATGGGTAAAATTGATGAGGGAATAGTCGTACCAAATTTCGCGGCGCGTAGCGCCGCGGTTTTCCCGCTATTCGCGAAAAACCTCAGGGGGGGGGGCGGATATCCGCCCCCCGTCGGTGCGCGGGTTAAGGCAAAACCCCTTTGAGACGCATTACTGCCATTCACACATTTCCAATCAAGAAAGATAGATCGTAGATTGATACCGATTGTAAAATCTTTCCTCGAAACCCGCAAGCATCCCAACACTGAGACAAAGTCTAATCAGACCTCAATGGGGGCTGGCCCACCGGCTCTTGACAGAAGCATTCAGATAAAGACAAAAGCAGCACAGCTTACCAATGGGTCCTCCCTCCTATGGCTAGTTACCATTAAACCCCTCGTTGGACACCATCCATCATGATTGCGCTGCCCTGGGAGCGCGGCCGCTGCCCCAGAAGACCAAACGCGCAGTCGCTGCCTGTAATCCCCAGTTTAGCGGAAGGCGCTCGCTCCGTTCCGAGCGAATACCGGTGCCCCTCATACCCTACCGCTGCCCGTAATCCCTGCTTTGGTGGCGAGCACTCCCTCTTAGCAGAGGCCGGAGCCGATGGAAGGGGAGTTCAGCTGGCTCAGTGCCGTGCCGAGCCGCTCGAGTGGAGCTCCGGTAGATGTCAGGTGGTCAGACGCTCTTATACGGCCTTGGTCAGAGGCGGAGAATCAGAGAGTGGAGGCGGCCGGCGGCGACGCACGCCGCCTTCTCATTCTGTGAGAAGGGGTACTCTCGCAGGTCGCAAGGCGGCTCCTGTAGGTACACTTGGGGGAAGATTGATGTTCCACCACTCCCTACCCATCGGACTCCCATGGCTCAGCCCTGGCTGCTGCCAGTGTTGCCTGCCCTCAGCACTGGTCAGCACTGCCTGCCAGTGCCAGTGCTGCCAGTGTTGTCACTGGCAGTAGCCAGTGCTGAGCCATGGGAGCCCGATAGGTAGGGAGTGGTGGAACATCAATCTGCCCCCGAGTGTACCATGCAACGCCAAGCGAATAATAACATTGAAAAAAACCTGGAATAAGCACTAAACAGTTCATGAAGACACATATGATGATAAGCCATGTAATCACGCAATCTATTTAATTTTTAGCGTATGGTACCAACACACACTGAAACGTGCTCTGGGGCCGCGAAGACATCGTGCGTCCCCGGCTGTGCTGTCAATTGCAATTGAGAACGTTTTCTATAGCTCATAACATTACTGATATTCTGCTGCTTTCCGAGGCATTTATAGGTATCGTGTAGGTGGTACCGTGGAACAGTGTGTAAAAACACACTGAGTACATTGAACAGGCATTCGTCGCAGAAAGAGTGGCGAATTAACTTGACCCAACCGGGAGCGCACACCGATAATTTAATTAAACGAGCTCCATTTAACCCGAATTGAACTCCATCCAACTGTGGCTGAACACAATCTCCGTGCACGCACCGGCATTCCGCGTCGACTCCCTCTCCCTGCCTCTGTCACGTGCCTTGGCGTGCGCGCCACTTGGCGGAGCCTTTCAGCCAGGATAGGCAATCGGTCTGAAGGTAGTCAATCAGATTCAGGACTACCCACCCATGCAGTGACAGCCCCATATACTTTATCTTGGTGAATAGTCACCACATCAACAGACATCATTGCCTTCATCTATCCTCGCAGACATTTTAAAAGCGCCTAACCCACTAATCCAGACTTCAACACGACTACCGGTCCACCCAGCCTTCACAACACCCAGCTAGAGATATACTTGTATTTTAAGTCCCAACAGGTGAGCAGTGTAGGTCACACTACATAGGTTTCAACCAGCTCTTAAGACCTTTCCAAAACGGAGCAGGACACCTGCTCCGCGGACCGGCGCTACCCAAACTGCACACGAACGCACCACGGCCTTCTTACAAACCTACTGGGCCGGCGACCGCCGATCAGCGCCGAATGGCATTCAGCTGCATAAAGCTGCCTTTGGGCACACACGCATAGCTCGGTATAATGAAAGTACATACCTACAAACTGCCGAATGACGTCAATCACCGCAATCAGTGTATAATGCATCAAATTAGCGCATGATTTCAGACTGTGCTATTAACCAGATTAAACTGCATCAAGCTTATCATTGTCATCGCAGTTCACTGGCCGCTGTTGTGCGTCTAATCACCTATGATAAGCCGACATACGATACCCTGATCTTTTGCACGGTACAAAGCTCGGCACAGAGCCCGGCGGACCACTGGTCAGCCTGGTCCGAGGGGCCGGGCCGGCGGACTGGTCAACGGAAGACATTGCACGGGGAGGGTCCAGAAGCGGCCCCTCTGCGGGCCTGTACGGTCCGGCCGGGCACGGCTGGCGGCGTGGACTACTCCGGCCGTTTGTACTGCTCACACCAGCGGCGGGCTAAGGCACTGCTGAAGGCAACCGACGGCTTGAGCTGCTGCGCGAGAGCAAGTCCATACAACAATCACAACCGGACGAAAATGGCCGAGCCAGCTCAGAGAGGCGCTAAGTGAGGGAGGGAATAACCTAGCCCCAGAAAAGACACAATGAACTAGCACGGCGAGAGGCCAAAGATTGACCAGGCATGAGGCAGGTGATATTGGGTGGGGTACGGAGGGACGAAAGACTACACATCCCAGGAAGACAGAGGAGTCTAAGCATATGTAGAACGGAGGAGATCGGACTCGCGAATTGCACAGCATCGCGACTGCTATGGCCACTGGCTAAAATTAAAACCTCTAATGATTAAAATCAAAGAACAGTCGCGCTGACTAGACAGACCACACAGCAAAACTACGCACACAAACGGGTCCACCCAGATACGCCAAATTCGTCACAAAGGCGTATGAAAACGTGATTCGTAAAATCGCCCAAATCACAAAAGCCCCTTAACTCTGGCAGCCTTAGCTGCAATTAACTCCAAGCCGGAAGCATCCCCATGGGCCAAAATCGACCATTACGATTGCTGGTGCAACAAAATCAATCACGTGCGTTCATCAACAAACGGCATGCAAAACAACTACCAACAATCGAAGACAATCGCCCTATTTAGCTGTCTTTTGATTGCTGATGGACTAGAGCAAATCACACGATCCCCAAATGAACACAAATCAAACATTATATACACGATTTTGCTAAGACTAAGTACCAAAAGGGCACAGGTTACCAATAAATACATCTGACTACCGTCCAGCGTCCACGTCACTGCACTGAACAGCCTCATGGCACGATAAAGTATGCCTCTGAGCGGGGTACAGGATGGCGACGGTCACTACGCTCGCCCATCTACCACTACAGGGTAGCTAACAATCACTTGGGTTCCGGAGGGAATGGGTTCAGGTTGTCTGCAGGAGTGGTCTTCACGCGGGCTCTAGGGAATGTTGACTTGCACACCAGTCACCTACCACGCCTACCAAGGGTACCTAGCTACTCTGGCCGACGGCGGCCGGCGGGAAGCTCGCTGGAGGAAGACTAGGAATGTTTCGTGACTAGGGTGCTGGCTCTCTGTGGGCGGGGCGGGACAGGGTGTGTGCGCGGCGCGCGCCTCAGCAGGTGGTGACGGCGGCGGCGGCGGCGTCAGCCGGGGCCGGGGCGGGGGCCGGTGGCTCGGCGGCCGCCGGCGACGGCTGGCCGCTGCTCTCGTCCACCACCAGAGCCGGCTCCTTGTCGTCCTTGGAGTCCTCGGCGGCGGCGGAGGCGGCCGGCGCCGGCTTCACCGGCTCGGCGGGCGCCTCAGACGACACGATGCCGTGGTCCAGCATCTCCCGCAGCGCCTCGCCCTTCACCTTGTGGATGTTGGTGATGTGCTTGCGAAGCGTGTCCCGCGACCGGGTCGGCGTCGAGCACAGGGAACAGATGTACGTCAGGTGCTTGTGCAGGTCCATGTGCACGCGCAGGTTGTACGCGTTGCTGATCAGCTTGCTGCACTCGGGACATTTGACGGGAAGCATGCGCCGGTTCGGTTTCGGCAGCAGATTCTTCCAGACGGGCCCGCTCTCGGCGCTGCCTGTGTCTGGAACGAGGGCCGCATGCATCGGTGTTAGTGGAAGCCCGTTACCAGCGTCAGACAGCGCGAAAATGTGAATGCAGTAGGGGCAGGGGAGATTGAGTAAAGAAAGCCGCAATTCCGCCAAGCGTGTATTCAGGCATCAGAGACGGTAGCGCAGTTAGGCACGTTACATCGCAGGCAGGAATTATAAAAAAGAGGCCGCAGAGGCGTGACAAGTCGCATTGAGGGCGAACCCCTGCAAAGAAAAAACTGAGTGTTAGTGACAAGAATGTTGCATGTGTGGAAATCATGCTAAGCCAAAAATTGCTGTTGCCCAGTTAGTGCGGCAGCGCATCTCGGCGTTTTGCAGTTAGTGAACAGCGTTGTGCAATATTTTAAAACAGCAGCATATTAAAAGTAATACAAAGTTTGCTCAGCATGGACCATGTCAACAGGCTCAAAGTATGAAGTGTGAAAACGGCAATGATGTACAACAGCCGCTGACAGACAAGTGGACAGAGACATGCAAAAGAAAAGCCAAGCGTATTGAGCATACTTATCTGGAATGCCGCACCGGAACTGTCGAGCGTCTTGCGCACTGCTGATTGCTCCACTTGCGCCCAAGATTCGAGTCAACCTGGATTGCAGCACTGACAGCTGCAGCGATGCTAAAGGTGAACATGGTTTAGCGTGTATGGACTCATTACCAACACCAACAGAAACTCGCAAAAAGTATGGGGTAGACCGAAAAAGGCGATTTTAGCGTCCCTTGCGTTTCCCTGAATCTACAATTATGATGTTTATGAAAAAATATACATTCTTTACAATTTAAATTGTCTGAGAATAACAATCTGAAAAAACGAGCATTCGTATAGCCAGGTGAAAGAAATTACCAACAAAACCCGAACATGGAAATTTTGTCCACTCTATGAGGACACATAAGCTTCATAAAAACGTTTATCCTGTCATGTTGATCAAGCCGTGGCTGCATAGGGCGTCTGCTAGTTATTTATGTAAGATATGTTTCAATTTTAGCGTTTTATACTTGTGCCACGTGCAGCCGTTTAGAAAAGACCAGTAATGTTCAGCCTCACAGCTACGCTTCAGAAGCGCCACGCCTCATCTCTTCAGAACTAGAATTACTCGAGAGTATAAGCTCCCACCTCAAATCAAGCTCAAAGGAACTCAATACTTGCTCAATATCCAGACGAGTGAGCAGCGCCGGCGCCTTCGCGGCCTCAATTCCGCCGCGCGCCTTTCAGAGGGCCGCGCCACCGACGGCCCATAGCGGCGGGAAGTTGGCTGGGCGCCGCCGGCGCGCCACTGGGAGGCGGCTTCTCGGACTGGTCGGCTTCGCCCAATCGACGCCGCTTGGCGGTGACGATCGTCCGACACCAGGTCGGCCTTTGAAAGGAGCGCGGCCGCCGCCAACGCAAAGGCCCGTTCCAGCCGCAAAATTGATTGATTGTGCTCACGCGTAGCGACCGCCTCAAAGGCGTTTTGGCGCCGCAGCCGCCCTCCATCCGGTGGGTGCCGGGGAAAATGGTCAGAGCCGCGGCAACATCGGCGCCCAATTCGGCCCAGCGCGTCATCTCTGCGTCACGGGATGCCCTTCTGCGTCCTACTTCAGCTCCGCCAGTATGGCGGATCTTTGCAGTCCTGTCACACCATCAACACATAAAGCGTGATCACACACAAAGAGACCCAAATACATTGCATTCACGGGTTATCCAATTTGGCAAATCATTAACCATTGACAGGTCTGCAGATACGCCATTGCTACTAGAACTGAAACAGGACACAGAAGCGGGGATCCTGGCACGTAGGCGACTGACACTATTGGACGCCTGTCACCACGGCAATGACTTCCTCCCAGAAATCCCAACAGAGAGAGGGCGGCAATCCCGCATAACGCCTTTTGGTTTGCTATGCACCATTATAATCACGCAGCTGAAATCCAATAAAATGAACCACCTTGGCCTGTAAATGTGCATTTCCAGGAGCCAAATAAGTCATCCGAAAAAAATCAATTTAACCGACGCCACCAGCACGCCGATAGGATGAAAGTCGCCCGTAACCGCCGATAACCGGAGGGGATGCAGAGTTATCACATGGCTGAGTGCACCGACCTATCGCAACACTAACAGCAGCTCCAGCGGCGTGACATTTAGAAATCAGCAACAACGGCCATCAGCGGATAAAGATTATTATGCATCATTTATCCGCACTGACATGAGAGCTGCGGGGATAGTTCTCTTTTTTTTCTGAAAAGGAGTAATAATATCAAACCGATTTTGAGGTGGCCATACCATTCAATATCGACTTAGAATGGCACACCACAAAACAATAAACCTACTTTGCAGTATGGTTATCTTAAATATTCGAAACAACCATTTTGGTTGATTTAGTTGCTATTTGGCACGAAGATGTGCTTGGGTTGAATGGATCAAGCCACAAGAAAAATAGCTGAAGCCGATAAAATGGTCTGCAATTACACGAAACAACTACCACATACGTGTAGTGTGTTGATTTTAAACCAATAAAGGCAATAAAGGCAATGACAAAAGTCACACACTTGCCAGCATGCCGTACTTAATAGTCTCGTATTTCAATAAGCTGTTATAGAATCTAGAAAAACGCATTCCTGAAACAGTTAAATCTTTGTAACTTGAATTACCGTAAGGTGGGGCTATTTGAGACAGCATTTAAAATTGCTATAAAATAAAAAAAAAACATTTAAAATTGATGCTTAATTTTTTGCTCAGGCGATTTACTGCTCGATTCCAAACCTCCCTGAGCAGAAATATCACACAAAAATCAAACGATCTTCATTTTATAGCGATTTTAAGTACTGGCTCAAATAGTCCCATTGTCTCAAATAGCCCCACTTAACGGTATGTCAAGGTATCACAAAAATATCGCTGAACCCTTCTCCAGACATCATAGCATGCACGCTGAAACAAAATTACAGAAATGTTATTCGGAGTCACATCTCAGCACCAAACCCCGTCAGCTCAATATTGTCATAACGATTGATATTTAAAAGAGGAATCAGAATATCTGTAGTCATAAATATGCATAACCTTTAACCTTCAAATGCTCAAAATAATTATGCATTGGGCTTAAAATTAGCCATCCGAACATGAAATGTTTAAAAATGGCATTAACCTACTCAAACATGGTCAGCAGGCAGACGATAAAATAAAAAATGACAACACATTGCATTACCAAGATGAGGTTCTAAGGTAGCGGGGGAGAATGGTCACTTTCACTCAAAAAGTTGCAAGAATTGGTAGGTATTTATAAAGACGGCGGAAAACGGCCAAGGTTAGTTTATTGGGGTTTTAGGGCGTGCCGACTACTAAGGTCATTTTGCGCCCATTCAACGGCCAAGGTCAGTGTTGGTATAAAGACACTAAAAAATTATATTTTGGCTTCGGCGACAGGGGGAAATCTCTCAGCAAAATGGTGATGAGTGAAAAAAAAACACGGCGAGAAAAGGTCAAAAGGGTGGAATACTGATGGATTTCATTTAAACGTGTGCATGCATACATTTCCACGCGTGTGTTAGAAATGGATGTAGGATGCGATGAATGGAACAATGAGGTCCATCAGACTATACAAACATGCTCTTTCTGGGTAAAATTGGGAGTGGAAATTGCTCTTGAAAAATGGAGGCTAGAGTGAAAACTCTTTTCCCTTTAAATGTCGTTTCCCACGCGAATCGACAAAGTTCCGGACACTGTGTGAGCTTACATGCATCAGTCCGCTTGAGCCCAATGAAGCATTGCAGCATCAGACAGGCGACATTTGCATATGGCACTGGCACATTGGAGTCAAAATGTACACAAGTGCTCCGGCCAAACGATCATGAACCCGTCGAGTACGATTTTAGAAGGGCAACAACCGTTGCACCGTTCGTGAAAATTTACTAAAGAAGAAAACTGCAAACTGACGAAAGGTCAGAAGATATTGGTCGCAAGTCTGTTAGTATTGATGGATGCCCGAGGCCCCCAAGCTGCTTGGAACAAAGTGCCCCCGGGGATTGAGCGGTCCTACTCTGTTCAACTCCGGATCCGAGGCGTCTGAGTATAGGACGCATCCATACGTATACCATCTTAAAGAAGAGGAGAGGCAGAGGCAGATGCAGAGGAGAAGGGAAGAGATGGCGGAGAGGCGGTAGGTACCTGGCGGCGACACGGTGGCTGGCACGGACGGAGGGCTGGCCGGCTTGCTGCTCCGGCTCTCCTTCGAGTCCCAGTCTAGCCACGAGCCTGGCAACAAACAATACAAAATCACTGGCAGCGACAGGTGTGGACGAGCGAATGGGCGGGGGAGACAACTTTACCAACACACAAAGTCCAGAGGATAGTCAGTAGTCACGGCATAGCGAAAATAGAGCAGCACACGCATAATAATGGCATCACTTGGTTTATGAATTCCACGACGACCAAAAAGAACGTAAAAATGCACAGTATAGGAAAAAAAACCATATAAAAATATAGGGAAAATATTGAGTTTGACAAGTATCACAATAAAACGGAACAAATGCAACAGCACTCGCGAATATCTTCTAATCGAAAATTATGATAATGAATGACGAGCACTGACGAGCACTGAAACGATATTGGAGGACTGAGTGATGCTTCAATCATGCAATTTTAATCTAGCGCATTGCTGAACGTAATTGGAGTGGTGGACGGCGCACTGAATTCACATGATCAGCGCGCCATGCGCCATACATTGGTCTCAGTCGATCGGGACAGTGATCCATATGAGCACTCTGATCGGCACGCCCGGCCGGCCCGGCTGGTTTTCCTCAGTGGCATGTCCACCCTTTCAGCCCCCCTCCCATCTCCCCAGGTGGTCTGGACGGACCGTCCACCCTCTCCGCGGGCCTCAGATAACGTCCGACAGAACAAGACACGCGTTAATCAATCAGAAACTATTGGCGACGGCACAGGCGGCCGGCGGCTGGCTACGATGGTTCGCATGCTCCGGAGATGGGATGTCTTCGGACACGCCCTCGCAGACGGACCGGCAGGCGGAGGGGGCGGCACGACCTGCCCGGCGGGAGTGACCAATTTCTCCAGGTCGCCTACCTAGAGTGGGTCCTTTGTTAGGTCGGTCAATTGTCAATCTCTCCGAAGTGGGCTGTTCAGAAATGGCTACCATGCTGGCCAATTGAACACGTAGCCACAAAAAGCGGGAATATGACCGAAACGCGTGGCTTTATTATCAATCTTATAAAGGGTTCAATGTTTTACCTCAAGTGCCAAGCTACCCAATCCATATCTGGAGCCAGTACTAAAAATATCTGCTCTTAATGAGCTGTTTCAGAATTCCGCACCAGAAATCATCCAGATTAAACTTTCACAGGTCTCAAGCGACGAGCCCGCTCGCAACCGCCCAAAATCGAGGCGCGACATACCGACAGTTGAAGCATGAATCCCTCCCAATGACATTACGTTCATATTCCAGCGAAGTTCCATTTTCTGAAAGCGTGCGCATATACTCATATATTATAAACTATCTGATATCACTTTAATGGAAACGTACCAAAAGGGGCAACATACGAGTATCATTCAGTTAATTTAGGACCCATATCTCATCGTTCTAGTGATCAGAACAAATCCCGTGAGGACGTCCCCTAGGCCACCGAAAACGTGCTCAGAGCTCGGTCCGCCTCATTATTGCATTATGATAGGGACAACGGCCCTCCGAGGTAAAATCAAACGATGTCAAAATTACTAATGAAGAGCAGCGAATTCTCTGCCGTAAAATAGTCTCCGTGATCAATTCCTGCTGCTCTATCCTTCGCTTGGCCTCAAACTCGTACTATCGACGCAGGAAGAGGCGCGGTTCGTCAGCCGAGTCGACTGCGCCAATATTTGACAACAAACGAGTGGATCTATCTGTTCAGAATGAGGTGCTCGGCCAAAGGAGCCGGTGATCCAGCGCGATTGGACGCGCCGCCTGTATTGGCACTTGGGAATACTTCACGATAACGAGCCAATTCAGCAGCCATTGTGCAGCTATTGGTACGCCACGGACGCGCGGCGCCGGCCTACTGGAGACCTGCCGCTGCGCCCAGGTCAGCTGCGGGACTCAACTAGTGGGAAAAATTACCCGCGGACGCAAGGCATTGACCTCCTGGGGCTCTGTCGCTGGGCGAAGGTCAGCACTAGCACCTAGCACCGGGACTCCCTCACTGATTTTGACGGAGAGACTGGGCTGGAGTGATGAAGTTATGCCGAGAACGCACGGCCAGCAAGCTACAGCTCTGTCGCGGCAGCTGAGTTAGCATCGGTCTTCCAGTGGTGATGGGAACTAGAAAGTTCTCGGCTCTACGACGGACTAAAAATCGAACTCTATGGGACAGACTACAAAGTCAAAACGTTTCAAAACAAGCGCAACGAAAGGTGATTCTGAGTTAAAGGAATGCCTGGCATAATTTGATTTTCAGGTTGGCCGTAACTCGGCTACAACTTCGTGTCACAATTGGTTGTGGGGAGCTATTGCGCATGTCCTTCGCACGCAGCTGGACATCGCTCAGCCCTCTCCACCGTTGTGGCCCTAACAGCCGCGCCCCGCTGCTCCAGCCACCGGGCCTCCCCATTACGGCGCTGGCAGCGCACGCACGGAGCCATTACGCACACGCAGCGGGCTCTCACCGTCGTCCGACTCGACGCGCGGCGAACCGTCGGCGCCGTTGTCGTCGGCGGCCAGCGCGGCGCCCGGCACCGTCGGGATCTTGAGCGTGAACCGGCCGGCCGGCGGCTGGGCGGGCTGTGACGGCGGCGGCGGCGGCGCGCTCGGCGCGCAGGACAGGTTCAGAGGTGTGGTGGCCGACAGCTCGGAAGGAGAGGCGGCGGCTGGCGGGTCGCGCCGCGACTCGGCGCTGCCGCCCGTCTTGGCACGTTTGGAGGGCGACTCGTCACTGGGCTGCGGCCGGGCCCGCGGTGTCGGCTGCGACTGTGGCTGGGGCGTGAAAGCCTCGCCCCAGCCCACCTGAGAAACGAGGGAAGGGAATGTCAGCGGGCTGCCGAACAGCTGGAGGGGAGAATAGATCACCGATAGACCACAAACACCATCGAAAATGCTGCTAATACAGTTTGAAATCAAACTTTTGACCGAAGCGTCTGTAGGTGCCAAAGGTGCGCCAGGTTTCGAGCGACATTATTCCACGAAGCTCAGTTTGCTGCCTGCATGATGAATGATGATGGAAAGGCAGTTATCTGCAAAATAACCAATAGTTGAACGGCTAATGGTAATGAGCTTTTCGGAATAATTGCGGGCTTCATTGACACTCCTTAAGGATCAGTCTAATCAAGTGTCGCCCATTAGCAAACGAGCATTCCTCCCGAAAAGACACCAGAGTTCAAGGAGAGATTAAAATGAAGACATGCGAATTGCGAGGACTTCCTGAAATTATGGAGCGGAAACATCCTAAATTTCGCTGAAGACCATCCGTAATGCATATTGCTAATTTCCATTGACTTTCGAGCTGGATGTTACCATTACAGCAATGGTAGTTTTTGTTGATGGTAATTCACACAAAAGACTGAAAACAATCCCGAAGTATGAAGTTATAATTGCAATATTACCGTGGCTCATATCTCGATTGATGCGCTTCTTTTGCGGGACATTTAATCGACCGTAAGCAGCTCTCTGCTCCATCAGTTAACAAACGCTTTAAATGTTATCAGTGCAGAAAACGCCTGCGGTGACGACCTCCTATGCGGGCTGCTATCAACCATACGCTGAAATGTCCCCCGTATCAGGTTATCCGATTATCATATCAACACTTCGTCGGCCCATTTATATTCCAACATATATTACTCAGTTTGCAATATCCGGAGGCCTTATCGCACCCCGACTCTGGGCCACTTGATTCACGTCCCGAGCGAACAAAGCCGCGGCGAACGGCGTCCGGCGGTGAATAGAACGGCTGTTTAACGTGCGACTGCGCAGAGCGGATCTCGGCCCGTCCATCATCACCAGAATGCCCTCATAGCGCGTCCCATACACCATGCTGAGCGCCTCTCGAGCCCGCTGACACCATAAGCGGCCGATGAAATCATGCAGCTCGGTTCGCCGTACGAGAAGACGGCGTCCTTACGAGGGAATTGATATTGTGACCTCGCTCTTTGATACGAACCAGGATTCTGTCCCGTGCCAGGTACGCCGACGACAACTGGCATTGTTACACCTATCTCGGTATTTGATCAGAGGTCACCCAATAAGCTGGAATATCATTCACCTGGAAGGCCTTGCGTCAATAGGTTTTATACAGCGTTAGTTCAAAGGGCTGCTGACAGCTTGCGCTCCCCCGCTGCTCGAATGCTATCAGGCGAGCTTGTGAAGGTGATACCTGGGACTAACAACGCACGCAGTCAGCTAATGGGAATGGGGAGAAAAACAATGCAACACGAATATACACCACCACCGTGGGTAGCTTGACAGGAGGCCATCGATCAAGTAGCTTTCAAATATGCCTATCAAAGCCTCCTATCACCCGAATGCAATGCAATTCCACGTCGGCAGTTGGATTGAGCCTTCGATATTTCATCCAATTTTATATTTATATAACACCGACAAAAGGATATCTCTCACGTCCGATCTGATTGTTTTACGTCCAAAGCCTGCTCTGCCATCGATCGACACTATATAATGCAGTACCAAGGAAACGAAATACGAGTACGATTAGCCCAGACCGCGAGCTGGAAAAGCGTGCTCCTTGTTTTTACTTCCGGTGAGCAGATTGAAGTAAAAACAGCAATAACATTAAGTAAGAGTTAAATGAAACACACAAAGCAGTTAACCATCGACCCAATCCATCCATTGCTAGGTTGAAATTCGTCTCACTTTTTGTGAGAAACCCAGCGTACACAGAAACCCTTTCATCTAAAACCGGCGTCATACTTTGGACCAACTGCCGCTCCGAGCCGATAAAGCCCAGCGTCGCCGCCGCAACTAATTCAGAACGCTTACCACGAGTGGCGCACGTGGCAGCAGCAAGGCATTCAGCGAACCCCCGATCGACACAAATACAGGTCACCTCTCCATCACACATCTCCGACAGAAGCCCGGGCAATGCGGGCCGGGTGCGGGGAGGAGGGCCGGGGACGGGAGAACCGGCGGGTGAGGGAGCCGAGGGAGCCGGTGAGGCCGGTTTTCCAGCGCTGCTCGACAGATTGGCCTCCAGCCAGTGCAGGTACGGACGACCCCCGCCGCCCACCGCCGCGCCGGCCCGTTCTCCGCGACACTTGGCACGCTCTGGACGGGCCGGCCGCACCGGCCGCCTGCCACCGGCCGCTGGATGCAGTGCCGCGCTACTTACACCGGGTCCCACCGGACCCCGCTGGGACACAGCAGTGTTTCCTGGAGCGTTATGTAGTCACGCGCCGTGCAGCGCTCGGTGCCGGTCCCCAGGTGCTCGGGGACGCTTATACTTCCCCCAACAGTTCCGCTACGGAGGTCACGAAGCGCTCAGCGATAAGTGACTTTTGTTATACCACGTAGACAGAAACTATAAAGGAGGTGGTCACACAATATCAAACGCGGAAATCATCCTAGTACTTTTCTCCAGTCTGGGTGCCTGGAGAAAAGCCTTCTATTCTAAATGCCTTGTACTTGGCGATATCACCTGACCTGGCAGCCAGACTCGGTCACAGTCCAACAAGAGGTGGCATCCCACCCAATTTTAGCAAACCTTACGTAGAAAGGATAATACGTATGGTCCTGAAAACGTGCCCCCGAATGCTCGCTCTAATCTCCAAACAGCTGACAGCGGTAGCGCACAAAAAGCGGAGTCAAACAGCACGGCACGGGCTACCCGTCCCCTTCCCTTAGCTGTTCCATCTGTCCCAGTGCGCGTCATGCCATCTGTCGGTCCAGAATGCCACCGATCCGCGGCGGGCCGGCGGCTGCCAGCGGCGGCACGCGCCCCACGCGGTCCAGAATCCTGGCCGGCCGTCGGGTCGGGTCGACACGTCGCCCGCTCCCCCGCTGCCGCCGCACACCCGAAATAGGCTGGAACCGGCCGATCACCGGCCGGGACGGGCAGCTCAGTGTCACCGACAGACACCGGGGACGGTGAGAGGAGTACCAGAGGCAGGACTTTAGCACCGGGCAGGTCCGAGTCACGTGTTACCGTCGGTACAGTCTGCAGCGGGTGGCGTGGGACATCTTGTCTTACTAGCCATTGTCAGATTTACACGGGTTTATTCAACTTGAAACATTGCGAAGAATAGTCACAGTCGAATTGGGATTCGCCATAAACAAGACGCAAAAGTCGGCAGAAGTTGTACGTCGGATGAATGAAAAGTTTGGAGCCTGACACAGTTACAAGGACGCACGTAAATGAGAATTTGGTCACATGTTGTGCTACTATTTATATGTGTATACCAAAGTTTGAAGTCGTAGTACTTTTCGTTTCGTTTTTGGAGTCCGTTAAAGTAAAGAGGACTGCCCGTTCGGTGAAAATGGAGAAAATCTAGAACCGAGCTAACATAAAGTATTTCAATTTGGAAGGCATGTCTTCGTCTGGAATTAAAAAGGATTTGAAATTGAACTCATTCGTTGTGGCCCATTACATGGCACTGTTAAGGTTTGAGCTGCTAATTTCAAGCAAGGGATGAACAGCGTTCAAGATGAACAAATATCCAAAACTCCGTAGGATGTGACAAAATCCAACATGCCCACACATATAAATAATGGCAAAACATGTGACCAAAGTTGCATTAATCTGCGTCACCCGTAACTATGTTAGGCTCAAAACTTTTCATTCACCCTAAGTACTTCAAATCACAAATTGTTATTAGTTTCTGGAACTTCGCCAAATAGTTGCATCAACAGCCTGAGTTAACACCAACACAAATATGATTAAATGCAGCGATATTACCGCAGCGCTAGCATAACCGGAACTCTTCACAACGAATAATCACATTAACAATCAAGCCATATGTGCCCAATGACAGCCGGTCGTAATGATGAAATATAAGCGTGGGAAACTACGCCACGAGTGCCGGCCACGAAGGGTCAGTTACAACCAATTATGATAATTCAATGCGCAGTTATTTCTAATTCAAGATCCTACAATAGTGAGACGAAACAGTAGAATAAAATGATCATGCTATGTGTATATCCTTCAGATAATTTTGAGTGTTTTATTTTTCAGGCTATGCTATATGTAATGCATATTATCGTCCACCGTCCAAAATGAATGGGGAAGGTGTCACGACCAATAGTACCTAAATAGTTACCACATGCTGCAGCAGCACCAGAGGTTCCATCAATCACCTGATAACGTAAGTGATCAAGGCTGCATCATCTAAGTGGCAGAGTATACATATCATGATTATATGAAAGAAAAACATTGACCTTATTCCTCGAATATATAGCAAAATTAATGCCAAGTTACCTTTTTATTTACGTGATATTTCGGCCAACAGACCATTATCAAACGAAAAAACGACCAATGTAGAAGACTTCTACATTGTTCTTTCTTTCGTTTGATAATGGTCTGTTCTAGCATTGCACCATCATTGCGCCCTGGCAATTACTAAAGACATCCGAGAAGCACAGCCATGAGCCAGGCGGATGTGCGATGGACGCTCCGGAAAGAAGCCAGTCAATAGCCACAGAATTCCACTCGGTTCCGCGATTCCAGTCCGGTAGGCAGTACCACCTGGTGATTTTGGACTGACGAACGTTGGCATGGCGTAATGACACGCCATGAGAAAATAATACGACAGTTGGCACAGCGCATTACGGAGCAAAGCGCTGATAATCGGTAATCAGACAATACTGATGATGACTGATAGGCAAAATGATCTCCGCAGCGTGTACACGGACACATGCCAATGGGCCGGAAATTACCATAATATACGCAAACGGAGCGAACCGACCACATCATACAGTGCTTAAAGAAATCATTTCGAGGAAAATCCTCGGGCATCACATTACAAATGGAGAAGTTTTGAGAAGGTAAGATTTGTGGTGCGGAT